CTCCCTCTCTCTCTCTCCCTCCCTCTCTCTCTTTCTCTCCCTCTCTCTCTGTCTCTGTCTCTTTCTCTGTCTCTGTCTCTCTCTCACTCTGTCTTTCTCTTTTTGTCTCTCTCTCTCCCTCTCTCCCCCTCTCTCTCTGTCTCTCCCTGTCTCTCCCTCTCTCTCCCCCCGTCTCTTTCTCTGACTCTGTCTTTCTCTTTTTGTCTCTCTCTCGCCATCCCTTCCCCCTCTCATTCCCTTCCTGTAGTTTCAATTCTGTCCCCAGTATACAAGTCTCCTAAGATTTCTGTCTCTTGTCTCTTTCGTTCCCCGCATTCCCACTTCTCAAAGCGATGCCTCAAAATCAATGTGAACAAAATGAGATTAAATCTCTTTCTCCCAGATATTCCCCTTTGTCTCCTCCTCTTTTCCCCCTCTACCCTCCCTCCCCTCCTGCCTCCCCCCCTCTTCCCCTCCTCCCCTCCCCCCCCCCCCCCCTCCTCCCCTCTTCCTCTCCTCCCCTCCTGCCTCCTCCCCTCCTCCTCTCCTCTCCTCTATCCGCATCAGGGGCCGCACCCTCAAGGTCCACAGCCAGGCACCCGCAGTGCTCACCGTTTTAAACCTGTTGTGACTCCGGCTGCCCCGTGGACCTGACCCCCACCTGGGCGCCCACTGAGCGCCGCGCTCCAGCGCCACTTTCAGCCCATAGCGCCCCCGCCCCGGTCTCCGGGCCCCGCCTCTGCTTGCTCGGGGCCACACTGTGCAGGCGGCCCCCCAGAGCTTCCTCCTGCCAGGCTCTTGTGGTTACTTCTGCTTCAGAGCCTTCACTGGCTCCCCAGTCTGGACCCACAACATTTAACCTGGCATTCAAAGCCCTCGACAAACTAGCGCCTTCTCTTTTCAACACTCCCCTTCATTGGCATTTCACCGCTGGCCGTTGAAAAAGACGTGTACTTTCCTACCTCCCTGCCTTTGCTTCCCCCATTGCCCATCATCAGACTGCCTTCTTCCCATCTCTGACTAGTGAAATCCCACCCACTGCTTTAGGCCCAGCTGAAATGTTCCCTCCTGGAAGCCTTCCCTGAATTCCCTCCTCCCCACTCCCCTTTATGGCTTTTTCAGTCTAACTGACCTAGGCTGTCTCACTGCCGATGGAAGTTATTTGTGGGTCACCATTATTTTGGTTATCACTGTTAGTAGCGTCTGTATCCTGTCCCTCTCCACTCCCTGGAAGCAGCAACCCCCCCACCCACCCAGCCCAAGGTTGGGGCCCTCAATAAAGTCAGGGTCCACTGAATACGCACCCAGACCTGGCCCCAGAAGAACCACTACCTGCTGTCCCAGAGTGACCCAGAGCTGCCGTCCCCCGTGCCCTTGGGCTGGGGCCGTGCTCCCCAAAGGCCCGCGGAGGGGAAGGCAGAATGGGACTGGGGGTGGCACAGGCAGGGTCCTGGCGGCAGGAGGGCGGGCTGGGTTGGCATGTCCAGGGCCAGAGCCAGAGCCAGGCCAGGCTCCGGCTATAAATAACTGGCTCCAGGATGAGGCAGAAGGGGTGTGGGGGACGCTGCCCTTGTTTCTGCCAGCCCGGCGGCTGGGGTGGGGGGGCACTCCCTGGACACGCCCATCCCCCGCATGGGTCCAGTCTCCTCAGAGGGGATGGGGGGGATCTCGGGGCGGGGCAGGGCTCGAGGAGAGGGGGAAGGGGACCGGCTCCCGCCGGGGCCCAGGCGCACGGAGTCATGGCTAAGGCCAGGGCACCGGAGGCCCCCCGGCCGAGTTTCCATTCTGCCCTCTGGGTCTTGATCCTGAAGCCCCTGGCACTGCGTCTGCTGCTGCCCCAAGTAAGTGCCCGGAGGGAGCTGGCGGGAGATCTCAGAGCGCAGTGAGACTGACCGGCCTGGGTTGAGGAACAGGCCAGCCGTGCTGGGTTTCTCAGAGCTCAACGCAGCTCAGAGAAAGGGAATGTGAGCTGGGCTCTCAGCGCAATGTGGGTCCCCGGGAGAGGCACTGAGCACCACCAAGCTAGAGATGTCAGAGAGCGAGAGCGGTGCGTCCCGGAGGAAAGGGAACAGAAGAGTTCGGGCATCTCCGAGGGCAATGCGAACGATTGCGACGGAGGCCGGGAAAAGTGGGAGTGCGGCCGGAGGAGGGGGACCCGCGCGGCCGGGGGAGGGGGACCTGCGCGAGGAGGGGGAGGGGGAGGGCCGGGGGAGGCCCGAAGGGAGGAGTACATGCGGACTAGGGATCTCAGAGCGCTGTGGAGCTGAGGCGAGGGGTTGCGGCAGCGAGGAAGGGCATATGGGGTGGCAAGGCGATCTCAGAGCGCTGTGAGGCGGGTCCTGGAGCTCTCCTGGCAGCCCTCCCTCAGGATTTTGAGATGCCCCAAAAGGTTCTCTCCTTTTCTGGGAGAACGTGCCGCTCTCAGGACGCTGGGAGCTGCCTTCCCTCTCCCCCTCCAATCCTCACAGCACCTGGGCTCTTCCCATTCCTCGCACCCTCCTGACACCCTCAGACCCCCAAACAAAGCTCCAGGTTCCAGGCTCCGCGCTGCGCCTGCTCTCATGGGCCAGGGCCTTCAGCACCACCTGGGAGAGGTGAGGACGCAGGTGCATAGATTTAGACTAAAGAGACGTTTGAGTTAAGTAGTTTTTCTTTTCTTCTGAAAACCGTGTCTCCCTCTTCTATTTAGAAGGAACATAGGGACAGTCTGTGACATCAGAGGGAGAGGGACCGGACCTGTGGTTTCCTGCCCACAGAGAACTCCCAAGTAAGGGAGTCCCTTCACTAGTGCAAGTCAGCACCTGCTTGGCAACATAGAGTCTCAGTTGCCCCTAGAGCAGTCAAAAATGAAGTGACTTCTTCAGGGTCTCCTGGTCAGAAGTGTGAGAGGCAAGACTAGAGCCTGCCTCCTGGTCCTTTCTGGCTTTGAGGGCACCTCTCTGCTGGACTAGGCTGTGTTATCATACAGCTAGAAAGGCAGATCTGGAGAAGGAGCCTGATCTGGGAGCCCAGATGCTGTTGTAGGACGAACAGAAACAGCTCCTTTAGGAGAGTTAAGGAAGATGGAATCATATTGTTTGACTCAATTGGATTGGACAGATTGGACTCAATCCCTATTAGACGCAGCCTCTCCTGTGTGTCAGTCACTGAGTGAGGGGATCTGACATCAAGATAGAAAGAAAAAAATCCAAAACAAGTGCAGCCTTCAAGGAGGACCCAACATTTAGATGGATGAGTAAGTGTGGGAGAATTTGAGGAACAATCGTGCAGCAATAGATAAGTGGGGGATATGCAGGAGGTCTCCATTGGAGGGCCTTAGACTCCATGCTGAGCTTAGTTTTGTTCTGCTGAACATTTTTGGATAAAAGCAGAGTTGGAATCTGCTAAGGGTGCAGATGATAGAAGCCAGGAGGGATGACAGTTTGACTCCCAAAAGATCTGGACAGGGCAATCGAGATTAGGCTGAATCTGATAAGGTGACATTTAACAGTGATCAATGTAAAGTCTTATGTTTGGATCCAAGTAATCAACTTCCCAAGTACAAGTTGGGAAAGAATTGACCTGAAAAAGACCCGGGAGTTCTAGTGGACTCAGTGGGTGTCAGCAGTGGGATGTAACTGCCAAAGAAGCTAGTGTGGTCTTGGGCTGCATTAAGAGGGCCAAACTTCAGGTTAGAGAATAGAGAGGGGATCACACCACTGAACTTTGCCCTCGTTGCACCTCATGGGGAGTGTTTGATTCAATTCTGGGGACCACAGTCTAGGAAGTACATTGATAAGATGCAGAGTGACCAGACAAGGGCAATGGGGATGGAGAAGCGCTTTGAGTTCTGACCTATCAAAACTGTCTGAAGGAACTGGTGGCATAATAGTAGCTGACGTTAAGTGTCTGCAGGATTGTGGTGAGGAAGAAGGGTCAGACTTGTGTTGTTTATCTGCCCAGAGGGCAGAACCAGGAGCGACTGGGGGAAGGGGAAAGCTGCAGGGAGGCAGACATAACTAAACATCAGGAATGACTGAACACAGAGAGCAGTCTAAAAGTGGAATGGGCTTCCTGGGAAAGTAGTGGGCTCTCCCTCATTGGAGGTGTAGTGTCTGCAGGCATTATTGTCTGTCTTTTCACCCTCTTCATGCTCTCAAGGGACATAGACTTCATCCTGAACCTCTATTTGACTTTGGATTAGAAAATCCTTTTACCTGCTTAATCTCTAAGTATTAAACTGAACCCTATACAGAGTCATTTCAGAGGATAGCTTGTGTCTGAGGCCTCCTCAGGATTTTTCAACCCTGAGGTTTGTTTCCTTCCTTGCCTCCTTCCTTCCTTCCTTCCTTCCTCCCTTCCTTCCTTTCTCTCTTTCTTTCTTTCACTCTCCTATGCAGCATAGTACAATTAAATAAAAAGTCCAAAGGATTTGAAGTCTGAGGAACTAGATTCAAATCCAGCCTCTGCCACTCAAGCCAATGCCTGTATACCTGGTAAATACAAGTCACTTCACTGGGTCTCAGTTTCTTCAACCCTAAAAAGAGGAGATGGACAAGGAAGCCTCAGACATCTGCCGGTTCCAAAGTTATGATCCCATGTTTCAGATGAGAAGGAGGGGAAGGCAAAGAACAGAAGTCCCTTCGGGAGCCTCTTGAAGGCATCTCCCCCCACCTCAGTGCTTTATTCCACAGGATCCCTGCCTTCAGTTGACTTGCAGCAAACTGAATTGCCCTCCGTGGTCTTGGAGCAAGGCTGGGTGGCTACTCGCCCAGTGCGTTGGGGGAGGGTCCTTGTTTAGGTACAGGTTAGATGAGGTGGTTGCCCACGTCCTTTCCAACTCTAACATTTTGGTATTCTCCAACTCCATGATGGAAGGCTTCCCATAAGACATGGCACCTCAACAGATACTTGAAGGAAATTAAGGATTTTAAGGGGCAGCTAGGTGGTACAGTGGATGGAGTGCCAGCCTTTAATTCAGGATGACCTGACCCTGGCCTCAGACACTCACTAGCTGTGTGACCCTGGGCTAGTCACTTCACCCTGGTTGCCTCAATTTCTTCATCTGTCAAATGAGCTGGAGAAGGAAATGGCAAACTCCTGCAGAATCTTTGCCAAGAAACCCCCAAATGGGGTCACAGAGAGTCAAATGCAACTGAACAACTCAGCAAGAATAAGGATTTTAAGAGATGGAGGTGAAAAGGGAGGGTATTCTGGCTGTGAGGTCAGCCTATGCAAAGGCATGGAGGTGAGAGGAGATATGTGGAATTCAGAGACCAGGTGGGAGGTCAGTTTGGAAACACAGAGGGAGAATTGAGTCTGGAAAGGTGCACTGGAGGTAGACTGGCAAGGGTTTTAAATTCTGGAATGAGGTCATGGAATGAAGGGAACAAGGGATCAGGGGACATTGGGACAGGATGCCAAGGGAGGGGGGTCAAGTCCAACCCGGCACTTCATGAAGACCACACTGTTATCTTCCTGATTGAATGGTGTGTTAATCCCAGAAGGCTGCCTGGAGGAGTCAGTTCCAAGGCCATTCTCTTTGTTGAGGCACCAGTCAGGAGGGCTTGTACCAGCTGCAAGTTCATGGATATTTCCCTCTTCTCTTCAGAGAAGCTTGGCTGGACTCTACTCCCAGAACAAGGGTGTCCTAAGGTTTGCAAAGTGGTCCTGTAATGTGGATAGCGTAACTATCACTGCCCCCATTTTAGAGATGAGAAGGCTGAGTCCTAGAAAAGTTCGGTTAATAGAGCTAGTAAGGATCACAGAGATGGAATTTGACCCCAGATTTTTTGTGCTTTCTCTACTATGCTAAGCTGTCTCCGGTACTGAGGCCAAGATAAAGGAAGTAGGGAAGAATTTTGAAGCCCTATGTTTGCCAAGCATGGGTGAGATTGACTTAGAAGACTTGGGTCTGAGTCCTGGTATTGTTCGAGCTTGGACAAGTCTCTCTCTGGGGATCAGTTTCCTCCTTTGTAAAATTAGGAAGGGGGATGGGGAAGGGATTTCTCAGGACCCTTCTAGGCCTGGTCCCCTCTGTACTTATAGACAAGCGTTTCATGGGTCCTTGTTTTCCTGACATGTCCCCAGACACCCCATCCTGCACCCCCAGCAGTGTATGTGTATGGGGGAGGGGGAAATTGGCATGCATGCCAGCAGCGCCATGGAGACAAAAGTAGAAATCTATGGAGAGGTCACTTCTGAGCTTCTGTCTATACCAAAAAGGTTTGAGGGTCAATGTGGCCTCTCAGTGGAAGGAGGAAACAGGCCATTAACTGGAAAGACAAAGGAAATGCATCATGGCAGATATATTGGAAAGGGGACAGAGCCCAGGGCATGAGGGGTGTGTGTGGGAGGGGAGTTAACCTCACCTCCCTGGGCCTAAGTTTGCTCACCTGTAAAAGAGCCCTGAGCTTCCCACCACACAATGGGGGAGGGAGGTGTTATGGCAGTGTTGGTTGAAGGGAATCCCAGACCATCAGAACTGTAAGGGACCAAGATGACTTCTAATCCAACTCTTGGCTGAGCGACAATCTTCTAGACTCATCCAGCCTCTTCTCAGAGATCCCTGGGGAGGGGGAGCCCCCACCCATCAGCCCAATTTGTGGCATCTGTCATGCTAGGAAACTCTTCCTGGCACTGAGCCTGAATCGCTCTCCACAGCTTCCCCGTGCCCTTGCTCCACATGACCAACCTCAAGATACCTGAACTCAGCTCTCAGGTTGAGTTCCTTCTCCAAGCTAAGGGGACTTCTCCAGCTCCCTCCTCTCACCCTCACTGGGCCTAGATCCCAGGCCCTTCTCCAGACTGTTGACTCCTTCTAGTTGACGTTCCCCAATCCATATCCTTCTGGAAATGTGGC